CCAAGATCCCGAGAGGAGAATGGAGGAGAAGGGATTGTGGCGTGACCATCCATCCTGGGGGATGATTTCTCGCTTTCTGTCTCTATGTCTCTCTCTGTCTGTCTGGCGAGTGCACACGCCCTATTGCGAAAAACCTCTCCAAAAAAAAAAAAAAAATAGAAAGGTTAAAAAAATCACTTGATTTTTTTTCTTTTTTTTTTAACTTCACTTCCAGAAATGGAAACTACATTCCCTTGAACCAAAATTGAAAGTGTGCAAGGAGTTGCTGATAGGAGAAGTGCGTCCGTGGCATGATGGAGCTTTTTTGGATGATGGAACTATTCTTCATCTGATTGGAGTGGTGGTTATACTAGTTTCTATATGAGTTAAAAGCTATAGAACTGTATACCAAAAGCATAAAAAAACTCAATTTTGAATTTAAAGAATGAAAAATAAATGAAAACAATTTAGAAGTATAGCAAATTATTTATCAAAAAGGAACTGTCTTTTTTTCCTCCTGTCTTCCTGCTTCTTTTTCTCAAAGAAGTCACTATTCCCAGTTTTTAATGTATTTTCCTACTTAATTACTCTTAGATATCTAAACATTCAGGGGGCAAATCAATCAGAAATATAAGGAACTTAGGAGCCAGCAGGTGGCATGGTGGTTAAAGGTGCTGGATTCCCACATGACTGACTATGGTTTGAGTCTTGGACCTGGCAGCTTCCTTTGTCCCTTTCTGTTTCTCTCTCTGGCCAAATTAAAAAAAAATAATAATAATAAATGGAATTAAATAAATAATTCTTTAAAAAAGAAGAAAAAAAAGGAACTTAGATTTGCTCAAGTATATTTAGAGAACGCTAAAATTCCTATTCTTAGAATAGATCTATATTGTGGCATCACCTGGAGCTTGAGGAGCTGCACGCGGGTGTCTGGGGTCTGACAATGGCCAAGAACAAATTTAGAGGTCAGAAGTCCAGGAATGTATTTCACATAGCCAGCCAAAAAAACTTCAAGGCTAAAAACAAAGCAAAACCAGTTATTACAAATCTTAAGAAGATAAACATTGTGAATGATGAAAAAGTTAACAGAGTGAATTAAGCTTTTGTAAATATACAAAAAGAACTGGCACACTTTTCAAGAGGCCTTTGTCTTGAATCTCTACAGAAAGATCTGGTTCCTCAGTGACATCTTGAAAATGAACCTGTTAATGTTGAAGAAGCTACAAGATTAATGACTCAGTTGTAATGTAGTGATGATATATCAAAGTACCCAAAACGTTCAATAAATTAAATGTTTTATACAAAAAAAAGAATAGATTTATATTAATAATCAAGCCTAGTACTAATTTATTGTTTCTCCTACAGTTGGCAAACATGAGTTGACTGGGCATAAAGTTGCTGTGAAGATACTCAATCGACAGAAGATTCGAAGTCTTGATGTGGTAGGAAAAATCCGCCGAGAAATTCAGAATCTCAAGCTTTTCAGGCATCCTCATATAATTAAACTGTAAGCTCTGTTTAAATTAAATGTTTATCTTTTCATCATTTTAAAAGTCCTATTTAATCTGACAGTGATAAAAATGACATTTCTGGGGACCAGCAGTTGGCATAATGGCTATGTTGCTGGACTCCCATATAGTCAACCGCGGTTTGAGTCCCGGACTCAGTGGCTTAAACTCAAGCTGGGTGTGTGTGCGTGCGTGTCCAAGATCCCCAGGGGAGGAT